TTTTCCAGAGAAGACACCATCCCTGCCTATATGTGGTCCCCTAGGTTTAATTAACAAAACTCTCGTTGCACTATCTCTAGTGTGCTCTCGTTTATTTGATATTAACTCTATTTCTAAAAAGTACATGGTCACTTTAACGGATTGGAGTTTGCAAATATACTTTATTTATAGTGGCAGCTCTTTTGGAAATATGAGATGCTTTCAAATAGCCTGTTATCCACACGCATTTTTCATGAACTTAGGATTGAATGTGTTAGGAAAGCTTTGACTTAGGGTTAGAGCGTTCGCCTCTGGCCGGAAAGACGCGAGTTCGAAACTCGGGTATGGCGGCAATTTCCGTTGCTACACTGGAGTTGGGCTACCACCGCCTGATGGCGCCCAATGAGGCACAAATGATCATAGTGGTGTGCTCTGTGTTTGTCGGTAACACACCATTGTTACTAAAAGTTAGCGAGTAACATAACTACTGGGGTTCCAATTAGCTCGCAAACAATGCATCAACCAGGATGGGTACATCCTGAAACAGATCGACGTACAGTTACCCACTACTATTGAGTAATATGCTTGCATAGCACTCCATTTCGTGTTGGAGTATTGGAGTCACTAACCAGAACGACACTCGTTTGTCCTTAATGTCCAATAGGCAAGTACCGGCGTGAGGAACAGTCTCTAGTTTTCGGCAGATATTCATGTCTTCAAGAGGCTGCGACTGCATGTTATTATTCTCACCTGAAGAACCTCAATATCTTTAGTAATCTTCTCCATCCTCTTCTACACTCTAAATAGAGGGATGGTTAATTAGGTGACCGAAAATCCAAATATTTTTCTATGAAGATGCATGAAAAAGGCTGACACAAAAATGTGTGAAGATTGTACTTACAAACTCTAAAAAGGCTGTAGGAAAACATGTGGACGAATGAACCAAAAGCTCTTTTTTACCAGGCTAGTAAGTCGAAACAATATGGATTGCCAACAAGATTGTTAGGCATAGGTGCAAGAAACATCGATTCCTCAACGACAAATACTGAGCACCATGATTTAAAATGGTGACTGATTTATTACACGAACAAGATTCTTCTTAAATGTGTCACATATGCCCCAGATGACATAATGAATACTGCTTAACAAGCGCGTCCTCAAAGAGCGTAATCAAACATGCGTGTTCATTGGGTACTGCAAAACACAATCTAGGTCGTTCGTATGAACGTATCTGAAAAATTCCTGAAAGCGGAGCCGGACTGTTGCAGTCGTAGTATTTCTCTGTAAAATTCACCCTGAATCAGACGTGGTTGCATGAATACCACATCCTAAGTCATTTTTAAATATTATGTGATGTCCTGTGTGTAGTATGCAAAGTACTATCCTAGTTACAGGACGCCAATTCTTCCGTCGACCTTGCCTTAGAGCTGGGTGTTTACACAGAACAGTGTCGTAATATAGGCTAGATACTGTTATTCTTATGTCTCTATCTTCGTCGATGGCGCCTACTGATGACGGGCTGAATTGTCCCAAACATCGCCAATTGTGGAGTCCTGTATGCGTGTTACCTCAATAATAAAAAGAGTTTTGTTTCTGGTAAAAAATGTCGAAGATGTTAGAGCCAATCTTGTTTAAATGCATAGATGAATTTTCACTGCATGAACTATCAGGAGGCATCTCGCGTTACCGGCTGTTGCAACGAGGGAGTCCTACGTTTATTGTTCGACCCGTAAACAGGATAGCTGGTCTTATCGGGCTTTTGTAAGCAAAAGTACTGAGATAGATTAGAAAAAGCAATATATACATTTCATGATTTTTTACAATTAAAAATGTTTAGTTCCAGATTGAGCGCTATGGATGAAGGTCGCAACGTACTAGCCTCCCAGTTAAGCTGCCAAACGACCTAAAGTTAATATAAGTACTATTTCCGAGCAAATCTGATTACTCGTAAAACGGGTAAATGTGTTATCAAGTCTACACTTTGATACTACAAGGATGTCAAATTCCCTACTATTGTCATAAAACGGTTGACCTTACTCTATCGACCAGGTAACTATGTTAACTGATTCCACCTGTACATATGAACCTTTCCATCCTTTCGGATGCAGGTGCCCATAACAGACGAAATGCAGCTGCCGTCGAAATCGCTTGGAGGCCACAAAGTATACGACGGTGCCCAGAAAAAAATCTGTTGGATGGCAACCAAACCGGAGGTCGGAAGTTAGCCTTTAAAGTCCATATCTACACTCAACAGCTTTTTTATGGGTTAGTATTCGCTCCGAAGAAAGGAGATTTTCATCATGGAAGTACAATTGGCAAAATCAGTTTAAGTAGTGCACTTCATATACCCCTAGTCTCAGCATTCTGTCCCACAGAAACGGTGATTATAGGGGTTTCGGGGGGTGGAGAAATAGGATAGGGAGTGAACGAAAGTTGTAGAAGTAAGTGGAAAGTGGGAAGTAGTTGAATTTGTTTCCCACGGCCGCTGGAAGTAAATTGTTCCGAATGTAAATTGAAGGTGTGTGCGACGCTTCGCGCTGCGGACTATACTAATCTAACTCCAGAACGGTAAGTTGGACCTCAGGTCAATTGAAGTAGACGACCTCCTAACCACAATTTCTATTTTTCAGGAATTTCAAAAAAACTGCAATTTGATAGTCAGATTTTTCCAAAATACGTTTGCCGATAATACAGATTAGGAAAATCTACTGATATAAATCAACAACCTTTCTAAATACAATAAAGTAAAATGCATATAGCAGTTATCAAAGTATATTCCACTGCCTATTTTAATTTCCCACGCATAAAACCCCGTTAACAACCGTTTTCTTAAGAAATAATGCTGGGATTAAGGGCATATGAGGTGCACTACTTAAACTAATTTTGCCGTAAAATTTATGTCCTTGAGCGGAAGTTAGAAAGACAGGTGATCTATGAAAAAATGCGTCTATTGACTTGGCCTTCTTAAATTCACCATTCCTTACTCGTTCGGGCGATGACTTCAGGCTGTCGTTTTTCCATTACGACCTTCAGCAGTTTTAAATATGCTTTGGCGCGATGTCAGCACAGTTCCCAACGGTAGAACATAACTTGGTTTTGAAACTTCGGCAAGGGGAACGCAAGTCAATGGTTCTCTATTCCATGATGGTTGCCTCATTTGACAAAGTCAATCTGCAGTGACACTGCTATTTTCCAGAATGTAATTCAACTGATGAATTTGTTATCAATTGGCCATTCTAAAATTCTGGCCGTGGTCACATATCCATCAAAACGATGCCTACAAAGCATATGTACAGACACGCTACTACGAGGAACAGCTCTCCGTGCTTTCGGTCAGGCGGAAGCGACACGCAACCTTTTTAGCTCTCGTCCGAGTCTGTTGGTTGCAGGAAATTGCCTAACGACCGACCCTAGAGTACTGTTCTCTTACAATCCACTTCTTCACCAGGTTTCACAAAACTGCAGCGAACTGTCAAGTTGGTTGTAAAGTGAACTAACCTCGACTCAACAGTCTACCTTTTGATATGCCACTGACTGATGATGGAAAATAAGCCTGAAATGGTCATACCTGTAGTCTTTCGCCTCACATTTTCAGTTACAGCGCGGCCTAGCGCTTAAGTTTATTTCTTCGGTTTGGGCGTTTACTCTGGGCGCGTCCATTTACCAGAGTGAATGCACTTCCAAAAGGGCTGTATGCGATTAATGTTCCACTAGTTCTTATCAGGTAACTAGAATAACTTATTTTTCTATAATTCATATGGCCCTGAACTTTTTCATTCAGCTGTTTCTGAAATATGTGAAAGTGAGCCTGTATTTATATGCAGTTCTCCTGTGAGTATATCAATAGACACAGACGCAACTTCTGGGGACTAAAGTATTTTGGGTCTGAAGTGCCATCTATCTACAAAATGCATCGTTTTCTTCACTGGTCCTCCTAACATCATTTTTAATTTTCAACACCAATCGAAATTCTTTTAGTAGAAAATCTGGTGAAAATTCGGTTGGGAATTACCAAGACAGTGTTTTTGGTCGCATATTTTCCAGCTGCCTCTAGATCATTGAGTTAATTCAGAATGCCTGTACATGCAAATCAGTGCTATTTGTTACATGAATTCGTGGGAGGCCTTCTACCTGACGTAAATATGCTCACATTGCCTGCAGTTAACTGTACGCGAATTCGTTTTTTCTCTTTCTCTCTCTCTCTGTCCTCTCGATTGAGCAAATGGTTTGCAAAATTTTAGCCAGCGATTATATTTCTATTGGACTACGAAGTAAGCCAGCAGCAAACATTTATTCGTTAGCGTCGCATTTCCTGAACGCCTGAAGCACTAAAGTTAGCCAGTTTATCTCAGAGAGGCAAAAGTTCTAGCGTGTTATGCTAACTTATTATGCAAACGGCTTAGTATTGGGTGCAATAACGAAACGGGATGCTTGATTGTAAAATTTATTCTTGAAGTCTGAGAAGATATGTTAGGCCTGCTGACCTCAATGAACGGCTATCTTACAAGAATGTGCTTTGTGCACGCCAACAGGCCACGTTTGAGGAATAAGATACAAGAAAACAAGAAAAAGTTCCAGGGAAACCTGAAGATGGTGAAAGAAGTACCCGCGGTATAATTAAGCGGTTCCCCTGAACGTGGGATAACCGACCATAAAGGAACCAACAGCACAAAAATCTATGGTATATTTTGAACTTGAAAGCCACAGTGGCTAAGGGTCAAAACTTTATTTTCGCATACATGATCCCTTTGTCTGTATACAGCATTTAAACTCAGCACATAAAAAGTCATTCATGTTCCTTGTCATACATACTTCATATTTGCCAATAATACTACTTACTCATAAACATAAGGAGAGGCTTCTTGTTTTCCGTTCGACACTTTGGAGCTGTTTCACTAGGAACAGATATTTCTGTTTAAAATTACATCACCCTCTGCATTCACTGGTTAGAGCATACGCCACCTAGACCTACTGGTCTTCTTCTAGGGGCGCTTTTTCAGGATATGCTGTGTCTTCTTCAATTAATTCGCTCGTCGAGCAGGACGAATTTTAGCCAGAAGATAGGGTAAAAAGATGGAAAAGTATCGCACAATGACGTCAGCAACCTCAGCAAAGGTGTAGATTGTAATACCCACGTATAAGCCTGAAACGCCGCCCAGTTCACTGAAGAATTGGACCAGAGTGTAGCCCTGATCTTCGATAATCTGCACAAACAAAAACGGAATATTCGGTGGGGTTTACCA